ATTATTTTTTTAATAATGTAATTGAATAAGACTTTTGAAATAATGTAAATTGATTTGTTTTCATATATAAGTTTAAATATTGAGATTTTTAAAAAATATGTTTGTATGCTATAAATTTTAAAGTATACATTTTTTTTTTCAATAATCTGTGTCACTAAAATTAGAACCTTACAAAAGTGGGTCATGGTTTTTTTGTTACAAATTTTGTACAAAATAAAATTGCATTTTCTATTCTACTAGGGAAAACTATTTACATTCCTATATTTTATAATAAGAATTAATTATAATTGTTGGCCAACTAGCCATACATAAATTCAATAATGTTAAGGGAATTATCCATATCCTAGTTTTTTAATGATTTTGGAAGGAACCTCAACAAGCTTTTTAAATACATTCATATCATTAAGAGTTAAATATGTTTATGACTCCAAACAATTCACAAAAGTTTTATATCATCCTTACTACAAAATATGTATCAATTTTGTCCCTACAATTTAGAAAAGAATGTAAAATTCATATGTAACAAACAATAGTTTATGATGTGAAAGTTTCCCTCTTCCTACAACTCCTTCTCCTCAATACAACTCTCTCTTTCTCTCCTCATTGCCACTCATTTTTTAGTAGTGGCAAAAACGACGCTGGTAGTGGTTATAGAGACTAGTGGGAGATTTGCACTTAAGGAAGAGGTTGTTAAAAATAGTTCGTTTAGAGAGACAAGACCGTCTAGAGAGACCAGACTCTCTAGCAACTCTTGTTTTGAAGTTTAACAAATGAATACTCAACGAAATATCGTTTATTGATTAAACCGTATAAAGGATTTGCTTGATATAAACAATGTTTAATAATATTAGCAAATCATCGTTGATAAGTCTTTATAAGACATTATATAGCTCACCAAAAGTGTTTGACGAAAATGCATTTAACATTATAAATTGTCAAAAGCAAAAGTTTTATTAAATGATTTATTACTCAAAAGAATAGATTTATGCACTAAACGCTTAGTACACAAAACATGAAAGTACCAAACTTTTTGTTCATAAGTTATGTACAAGATCAAAAAGACGTTACGGGATAAAAAGAAATTCTTGAAATGTTTCTTTAATGTTTTTTTGCTTTGAAAAGTTGTACACTGTCATTTTTGCTAAAAGCATTATTGCTCTAATGCTTCTTAGCGTAAGACCATGGAAGTAATCGTTATTGATTGTGTGATTGGAATATTGTCTGTTTATAAAATAAGGAATATTTTATTCAAGTACCATATGATTAATTAGTCAAAGCTTGTCGTGGTGGGTAAAAGTCTCGTAAACAAGTCCGATGTGGTGTGAAATGTTATTGTTTGTATCATAAATGTGTAATATGTGTTACATTTAAAATTAAAATAACTTAAATGGTATTATAAACGAAACAAATGACTTGGCGTAGTGGTAGAGTTGTGTGTGTATTGAAGGGTTATGGACTTGAAACCCTAAGAAAAAAAAAAGTGTGTTTTTTTTTTTTTTTTGGTTGTCCTTTTGTTCGAACGTGATGAAAATATGTATTTCTGACAGATTACTAACGACCAGCACCTCCTGATCGGTTCTTATTGAAAAGAAACTTTCTCTTCTTTCTTTTACACATACATTATAATATATAGACAAGCATCTCAATTTTTGAGAGTGTCGTACTTCACATCAGATACTTGAGCCACTGCAATCAGTAGGATGAAAAGAAACTTTCTTTCCTTCGAGATCATACACCACATGAAAATTAAACTGTGAAAAACTTCCAATGATGGAAATTCCGGTCATTGTGCTTGGCACTATTGTCAAGCAAAGCATGTTTCGATCTGTGATGTGAATAAGCAGGTTTATAGGTTTCAGCGGAACAGTAGCTCCGGTGAACTGAAACGCAATTTCAGGAAAAGCGAAGTTTTCACGATATGGAAAACAGAAGTTTAGCGGGGAGGGAATATCTTCTTGCACCAGTTCAACGCCAAGGGCTTCTTGTAACGAAGCCGCGAATGTGGAGAAAAAGGTTGGCTCCAGATACGTCAACACCGTGCCGGAATCAATAATCACGTTGCCCTCAGTGCCGCCAGTCGGCACCGTCTTCTGTGCAACGGTGACGGCTTCAAGGTTGAGAAAGTAAAAGGTGGGTAACGACGGTTTGATTATCATTGGAGTGGACACAACCCCGTTTCCCGTTATAATTGCTTCGTTCCCGAATCTCAACTTGCTGGAGGAGGTTGAACTGAAAGGAAGCAAACAGTAGGAGAATTTGTGACCGATTTGGTCACCGATTTGTGAAACCAGCGACAACGGTCCAGCTCCGAGACCCACTAGACCAGTGAGTTTAGTGCTGGAATAAACAGTGAAGTTGTTTAACAATCCACATCCGAAGATGGTGTTAGGAAAAGAAACTGTTTGTGCTCCACCTTGTGAATCATCAAAAGTTAGGGTTTCGGTACTCAAAAGCCCTGCAGAAAATGAATTGTCACCGTATTCGTACAAGTAGACGCATTCACCCGAGTTTCCACATTGACCTCGTCCATTTTGGAGTAACGTGCATGGTTGTGTGCCACATGTGGTACCCACGAACGTGGAAGATTTGAGTGGTTCAAACAATGGGGTATCTTGGGGGAAACAGCTTGCACAAGGGGAACATTGTACCCAGATGAGATCACTCCCTGTGTCTGCAATGGCAAGCCTTTCAACTGGAGGGGTGCCAATGTAAAATTTCATGAGGTATTCACCGTTGTCAGGGACCAAAATTGATTGGGGTAGCTTGTTGGTTTGATCTAAGCGATGAGAAGAAAGTCGGTTTAGTCGAGAATTTGAGCGTAGGGCAGCGTTTATGATGCGCTGTGATGGGGTGAGGGAAGGGTTGTAGAAGGGTGAGAGCGGTGAGTCACGGTGGATAAGGTCGACGGTGAAGCCACTGGGGCTTTCATCGGCTTCTGCAGAGGAAAGAGAATAAACGGAGAAGGCGGCTAAACAGAAGAACAGAGAAGGATTCATGATGATGAGGAAAGTGATTCAAAAGTGAATAAGGATGTAAGAGGGAGCATGTTGATGTGGTTCTATAAATAGATTTCTGAGTTTTGCATGAGTTAGAAGAACACTTGGTCTCGATGACACTTGGTTCCTTTGAAAAGTGTAAATGTCTGTTTGGTAGGTTCCTAACGGTAATCAAAAACAGATATTTATTTCTCCAGTTGGGGTCAACTTGTTCAAATAATGGTTTTCTGTCTCAGCGAAGAGACCAAATGAGAAATTGTTTGATGATTATGCGAAATGGTTTTCGGTCTCAACATGGGGACGAACAATGAAGAAACTTTTCAATAATATCATGGAAGATGGATCGTTTTCACTCTTAAAATGTTATATGGTTTTGATTCTCCACAAAGAAAGGGCATATGGATTTGTATAAGGAAAATTACTCGTAACAATACCCGTTCCATGCACAGGATTTTTAAAAATTAATATATATATTAATGTTAGTTTGACTAAAAATATAATTACAATTTAGAAATTATATAAATTAAAAAAAGATATATAGGTTATTTGATAAAAAGAAAACATTACAATACAAACATAAAAATATATATTAATGTTAGTTTGAATAAAAATTATATTAATGTTAGTTTAAACTAATTATTTATATTATTAACTTTTTTTATATAAATTATTAATCTATATTTTTTTCATATATAATTTTATTAAAAATTAATAATTTTTATTACATAATAAATTTTAAGACTTTTATAACTATTGATCAACCCCTACAATGGTGGTTTGGTTCACCGAAATGGGATGGTAACTTCTGCTTATAAGTTGTGCCCACAGATGAAGAGAAGACCAGTGTTGACCGGCGGCACAAGTGACGAGGGAGGAAGAGAAGACTTGCGTTGCGACCAACAACTCTTGCCAGACGGAATGGGTGGCGGCGACTGACTTTTGCTGACAGCTAATTCCTTTCTTTCTCTCTCTATTTCTATTTCCATTTTCACCTTTCATCTCACCACCATCATTATTTACTAACCTTTCTCTTTCTCTTTTCATCCTTGATTTTTGTTTTTCAATTTTATATTTTTTTAGGCTAGGTTGAATGTGGGGAACAATAGAATGGGTAAAGTGTCGGCAAAGGACTATGCTCAGCTTCGCTGCTCCAAGTCTTCAGGTTTGGCTTCTGTTGTGGGAAAATATTGCTGCACTTGGAAGAAAAAGGTGGCGGTCTTGCATGCTAGGAAGAGAGGAAAGGGTCATGAAGAGAATGTCTATATATAAGAGTCCTATGATGCTTGCCTGTCAATTTGGTTAATCACGACCCAATTGTTTTGTTCAGCTCCAAAACCCTTCACCTCTTCCCTTTCTGAATCTAAGCTCGAATCTCTTCCCATGGAATTACTAGTATTTTTCACCAGATTTAATTTTTTGGAGTTGTTAATTGCATGTTTGTTTATGCGTTTAGGGTTTGTTTGAGGCAAATGGATGGGTGTCAGTTTTCCAAGAAGAAGAAAAAAACGTTTTTATATATTTTTTAGGATTTAATTATAGGACCGCGATATTCCAACAACGGATTTTTAACACTATTTTAACAACGCCACGTGTCGCCACCTCATTGGTTCGTTTAAATTTTTTATTTTTAAAACCTATGACCGTAACCCTTATTTTGAGTGAAAATCCTAAAATACCCCTTTCCCTTTCTCTGTTCCATTGCAAACGAAGGTCCGTTCTCTTGATAGGTCGAAGGTCGCGTTTCGTCTCGCTTCGTTCCATTTGCATCGTGTTGTCTCCGGCCAGTTTGGTGTCCTGTTATCGTGCGGAATGGCAAGTTCCGGTGACGATTGTCCGACGACTAAGGTAAGTGGTTTTCCATTCCATGTCGTAGCTTGGTTATTCGGTTTGGGCATCTCGTAGCATGGTTATTTGATTTGGGTTAATGTTTGGGGTTCGTATCGTTGGGTTGTGGTGCTTGGGTTATTGGGTTTCGTTGTTTTGATGATTTGATTTTGGTTTATGCAGTTGAGTGTTCGTCACTCTTTTTCGACAAAGTATATATGTACTTTGAACGAACGCTTAACAAAGGAGCATCGATCATTGATTGCGACAACTCCATTTGCTTGGTTTTTAGATGTCAATGTCAATGTTAAAGTAGGTAGAAATATACTGAGTGAGTTATTGGGTAAGTGGGACGACTGTAGTAGTGGTTTTTTAGTTGGGAATAAAGTTTTGAATATAAATGAAAATGATATATATTTAGGGTTGGGACTGAGTACAGATGGTGCAAACATTAACTTAAAGGAAGAGCTGGGCAATAGTGAATGTGTGAAATACATAGGCAAAGGAAGTCTGTATTCCTCCTTATCCTGTCGTTGAAGGACCACCATAAACATCCGTCAACAACCTGAGAATTTAAGTCAACACATAAGAGTACAACACTTTGTTTGTTTGGCAAATATTGAAAACCTCATAACAAAATTTCGATACAACCAACTACCCAAACCTGTTCCATACACCGTTTCGTTTACGAAACTGTCTCCAACACTTATTCAACCAATGCAATATTCGTGGAGAAATTTATCAATAGGACCTTTTGGTGGAACAAAGAGCTCAAACAAACCATACCTAAGACAAATAAATCATCTTACTTGTAATAACCTTAATTCAAATAGACATTTACGTAAGTACATCAAATACTATTAATTACCTGCAACCAAATGTACACACACCGTCGACGGTCAACTTGTGAAATCCTGTTGCCTTCTTCAAGCCGTTTTGGAGCTTTTTGCACAAACTATTGTAACTAAACGATAAACTACACTACCCCAACAATAACTACCCAAGCACTTAAGTTTCAACAATAGTTAAACTTACGGGAAACACTTCTCCCGCTACGTTTTGGAAATAAAATCTCACTTATCCCTACCAGAGGTAAAGGCTATCAAAAATGAGAACAAGGAGTCTTCTTCTGTTTGTTTTCGCATTAGAATTTTGTATATTGAATTCAAGTGTTTCCTTGTTTGTATCGCATTTGTCCT